CGGGACGCCTGCGACAGCTTCCCCGAGACCAGCAACCCCACGCAGGTACGGCCGTGGGGCTGCCCCCCGGCGCGGCGCCCGGCCCCACGCAGGGGAGTAGAGAGGCAGGGTCCCCTCCCTCCACCCGCTGGCCCCGGATGCCACCGGCCTCGCTGGTCCCCTTGCTGGCTCCTGGTCACCTCCTTGTCCACCGGGACCCCCAGGTGCTGCCCCGCAGGGGAGGTGACCTCGGGCCCCGGTGTCTTCCAGACAGATGTGGACAGTGACCTGGTGGGAGACACCTGTGGACAGGAGGGAGCTGCAGCATCTTGCTGTGATGGGGACAGACGTGGGGTCCCCTGTGGGCTCCTACCAGACGCTCAGGAGAGCGTCATGGGGGAAACAGGCTCTTCGGGAGGTCCTTGCTTGGTGGTGGCCGTCCTCACCATGTCCTCACTGCCCACAGCGACGGGGACGGGCACCAGGACACCAAGGACAACTGTGCCGAGATCCCCAACAGCTCCCAGCTGGACTCGGACAACGACGGGCTGGGGGACGAGTGCGACAACGACGATGACAACGATGGTGTCCCCGATTACACGGCACCCGGCCCCGACAACTGCCGCCTCATCCCCAACCCCAACCAGAAGGACTCGGACGGTGAGGGCCGGGCGGGCAGGACCTCCCAGCCGTGTGACACCCGCGGCGGGTCCCCGGGTGACCGTGCGGCATCCGCCCGTGCAGGGAACGGCGTGGGTGACGTCTGCGAGGAGGACTTCGACAACGACACCGTGGCCGACCCGCTGGACGCCTGTCCCGAGAGCGCCGAGGTGACGCTCACCGACTTCCGCGCCTACCAGACGGTGATCCTGGACCCCGAGGGCGACGCGCAGATCGACCCCAACTGGGTGGTGCTCAACCAGGTGGGGGCTGCGGGGACGGGCGGCCGGGGCCACCACTGCCACCACCGCCCGCGCTGACGTCTCCCCACCGCGCAGGGCATGGAGATTGTGCAGACCATGAACAGCGACCCGGGCCTGGCTGTGGGTAAGGGGGCTCTATGGGGTGGTGGTGACGATGGTGATGGTGGTCATGGTGGTGAAGGTGATGGTGGTGGTGGCGACAATGTTGATAGCGTTGATGATAGTATTGGTAGTGATGAAGCTGGTGGTGATGATGATGGTGGTATTGATGGTGATGATGGTGATGATGATAAAGGTGGTGGTGATGGAGATGATAATAGTGCTAATGGCATTGATGATTGATGGTAATGGCATTGATGGTGATGGTGGTGATACTGGTGCTGGTGGTATTGATGGTGACGATGATGATGGTGATGCTGATAGTGATAATGGTGGCAGCAGCACACCGAGCTCACCCTCCCGCCCCCCCTAGGCTACACGGCCTTCAACGGCGTGGACTTCGAGGGCACCTTCCACGTCAACACGGTCACCGACGACGACTACGCCGGCTTCATCTTCAGCTACCAGGACAGCGCCAGCTTCTACGTGGTCATGTGGAAGCAGACGGAGCAGACCTACTGGCAGGCCACCCCGTTCCGCGCCGTGGCCCAGCCGGGGCTGCAGCTCCAGGAGAGCGG